GCTTATCAGGTATCCCAGCATTCAAGTACCAGAAGAAATACTGGCAGAATGTGTTAGGGGAAAACAAAGAACATTGTAATATTAAAATTTATACAATTTTCCCTAATATCTTAACAGAGAAATATGGATAAACATTGTCTACTGAGTCAGGATCATGTGCATAAAAGAAGTTATTACATAGGACTGAGCAGGGGGCATACACAGCTCAGCATTTGTGATAAAGTTAGATGGGTAACTGTTGATGTTAGGCTTCATTTTTGTCAACAAAATGACATGGGCATTTCCTCATCATCCTTCCTAATATGAGACTTTCTGCCTCACTGAGAACTGGACTGCCCACATCTTGAGAGGAGAAAGTTCCACTATCCTTAGCACTGATCAGTTTATATCCGTATACTGGTATCAAAGCCAGAGTTAAAGAGTAATGGCAGGACACATTTGAAAAGGCTTGTTAACAGAATGGCTCACAAATTAGTACTGGAGAAAGCAGCAAAGGACAAGAAAAAAGGCTTATAGGGACATGATAAAGCTATTCACCTTTTTTTTTTTTCTGAGACAGGGTCACACACTATGCTGTCCCAACTGTCCTGGAACATGTTAAATAAACTAGGCTGGCATCCAACTCACTTTACTCTGCCTCCAAAGTACTGGGATTAAAGACATAAGCCACTGTGCCTTACTGGGTATTTATATTTCTAATGGGTGCTATTATGTATAAAAAGAATTATTTCTGTTTAATTTTTTATTTTTAACTGATACACAAAATTACACATATTTTATAGGATACCACATTTTGTTTCAATATATGCTTACACTATGTAATGTTCAAATTAGAGCAAATATAGTTAATCTCCTTTACAATTTTCACTTCTATAATGAAAATGTTGAAACCATCTCCTGATAGTTTTGAAAATTATAGTATATTGAGGCACAGTGATGCAGTTCTATAATTCCAGCACTTAGGAGGTCAAGGCAAAAGGATCACTACAAGTTCTATACCAGCCTTGGCTACATAGTGAGGCCCAAGCTGAATGGGCTATAGATGAGAGATTCTGTTTCAAGATACCAAAAATAACACTTGAAAGTACAGAATATTATTGTTATCTGTAGACACTCTACACAGAGCACCAACATTTCCCTTTTTAAAAAAAAATTTAATCTTTTATTTTACACTCCAGATTTTATTCCCCCCACCCCCGTCCACTGTCTGACCCACATCCCATACCTCTTCCCGCCCCATCTCCACAGGATGTCCCCATTCCTCCACCCCCACCCACCAGACCTCCCCACTCCCTGAGGCCTCCAGTCTCTTGAGGGTTAGGTGCATCTTTTCTGATTGAACATGGACCAAGCAGTCCTCTGCTGTATATGTGTTGGGAGCCTCAGATCAGCTGGTGTAGGCTGCCTGGTTGGTGGTCCAGTGTTTGAGAGATCTCAGGGGTCCAGGTTAATTGAGACTGCTGGTCCTCCTACAGGGTCACCCTCCTCCTCGGCTTCTTCTAGCCTTTACCTAATTCAACCACAGGGCTCAGCAGCTTCTGTCCACTGGATGGGTGCAAATATCTGCATCTGACTCTTTCTGCTGCTTGTTGGGGCTTTTGGAGGACAGTCATGATAGGTCTCTTTTTGTGAGGATTCCATAGCCTCAGTAATAGTGTCAGGCCTTGGGGCCTCCCCTTGAGCTGGATCCCACTTTCGGCCTGTCACTGGACCTTCTTTTCCTCAGGCTCCTCTCCATTTCCATCCCTGCAGCTCTTTCAGACAGGAACAACTATGGGTCAGAGTTCTGACTGTGGGATGGCAATCCCATCCCTCACTTGATGTCTTTCTGCTGGAGGTGGGCTCTACAAGTTCCCTCTCTCCACTGTTGGGCATTTCACCTAAGGTCTCTCCCTTTGAGTCCTGAGAGTCTCTCACCTCCCAGGTCTCTGGTGTATTTTGGAGAGTCCCCCCATCTCCAACCTCCCAATGTTGTCTGTTTCCATTCTTTCTGATGGCCCTCAGGGCTTCAGTCCTTTTCCCCCACCCAATACCTGATCATGTTCCCCTCTTCCCTTCCCTGTCCCCTTTCCCACCCAGTTCCTTCCTCCTCCTTCCTGTGATTGCTTTCTTCTCCCTCCCAAATGGGATTGAGGCATCCTCACTTGTTAACCTTTTTGAGTTCTGTGGACTGTATCCTGTGTATTCTGTACATTTTTGGCTAACTTGTTAACCTTTTTGAGTTCTGTGGACTGTATCCTGTATATTCTGTAAATTTTTTTGCTAATATCAACTTATTAGTAAGTACATACCATGCATATCCTTTTGGGTCTAAGTTACCTCACTCAGGATGATATTTTCTAGTTCCATCCATTTGCCTGCAAAATTCATGATACCCTCATTCTTAATAGCTGAGTAGTATTCCATTGTGTAAATGAACCACATTTTCTGTATCCAGTCTTTTATTTCCAGTTAGTGTTGTTTTTTTTATTTTTATGTTTTTTTCTTTTTTCCTTTTTTTATTGGATATTTTATTTACATTTCCTATGTTGTCCCCTTACCCCATCCCCCACCCACCCAGGAACCCCCAATCCCCTCACCCCTCCTCCTTCTTCTCTGTGGATGTAACCTCTATCTACCCCCCCCACTCCCACCTCCCCACCCTCAAAAGTCCCACCCCCTGGGGCATCCAGCCTTCATGTGGTCAAGGTTCTCTTCTTCCACCTATGCCCAGCAGGCCCCTCCACTCTTACATATTCAACTGAAGCGCTGGATCCCTCCCTAAGTGCTCCCAGGCTGGTGGTTTAGACCCTGGGAGCTGTGGTTGGTTGGTATTGTTGCTCTCCTCATGGTGCAACAAATCCTTTCAGCTCTCCTTCAGTCTTCATTCTAACTCCTCTATTGAGAACCCCATGATCTGTATCCAGTCTTATGTTGTGGAACATCTGGGTTTTTTTCCAGCATCTGGCTATTACAAACAAGGCTGCTGTGAACATAGTGGAACACGTGCCCCTGTGGCATGGTGGAGCGTCTTTTGGGTATATGCCCTAGAGTGGTATAGCTGGGTCTTCAGGTAGAACAATTTCCAATTTTCTGAGGAACCTCCAGATTGATTTCTAAAGTGGTTGTACCAGTTGCAATCCCACCAGCAATGGAGGAGTGTTCCTCTTTCTCCACATCCTCGCCAACATGTGCTGTCACCTGAGGTTTTGCTCTTAGCCATTCTGACTGGTGTGAGGTGAAATCTCAGGGTCATTTTGGTTTTCATTTCCCTGATCACTAAGGATGTTGAACATTTCTTTAGGTGCGTGTCACCCATTCGAGATTCCTCTGTTGTGAATTCTCAGTTTAGTGCTATACCCCATTTTTTGATTGGGTTGTTTGGTTTTCTGGTGGTTAGCTTATTGCATTCTTTATATATTTTGTCTATTAGCCCTATATCAGATGTGGATATTTTTTCCCAATCTGTAGGTTGCCGATTTGTCTTATTGACTGTGTCCTTTGCCTTACAGAAGCTTTCCAGGTCATAAGATCCCATTTGTCAATTCTTGATCTTAGAGCATGAGTCATTGGAGTTCTGTTTAGGAAATTTCCCCCTGTGCCAATGAGTTCAAGGCTCTTCCCCACTTTCTCTTCTATTAGATTCAGTGTATCTGGTTTTATGTTGAGGTCCTTAATCCACTTGAACTTGAGCTTTGTACAAGGTGACAAATATGGATCTATTTTCATTTTTCTACATTCAGATGGCCAGTTAGACCAGCACTATTTATTGTATTTTCTGTTTTCCATTGTATATGTTTGGCTTCTTTGTCAAAGATCAAGTGTGTATAAGTATGTGGTTTTTATTTCTGAGTCTTCAATTCTATTTCATTGATCAATGTGTTTTCTCTATACCAATACCATGTAGTTTTTATCACTATTGCTTTGTAGTATAGCTTGAGGTCAGGGATGGTGATTTCCCCAGCAGTTCTTTTATTGTTAAGAATTATTTTCACTATTCTGTTTTTTTTTTCCCTTTCTGGATGAATATGAGACCTGCTCTTTCCATGTCTTTGAAGGATTGTGTTGGGATTTTGGTGGGGATTGCGTTGAATCTGTAGATTGCTCTTGGTAGGATGGCCATTTTTACTATGTTAATTCTGCTAATCCATGAGCGTGGGAGATCTCTCCATCTTCTGAGATCTTCTTCGCAATATTTCTTTTTTCCTAACTAGATATACCCAGTATCCATTGATCATCCTTTTCATTCATTCATTCATTCATTCATTCATTCATTCATTCATTCATTCATGTGCATTGGTGGTTTCCTGCATGAGTGTCTGTGTGAGGGTATCAGATCTTCTGGAACTTTTTCAAAATGAATCTTAAATATAGTTGTCAACTACCATGTGGGTACTGGGAATTGAACCCAGGTCCTCTAAAAGAGCAGCATCTCATGTATGCTCTTCACCACTGAGCCATTTCCTCGTTCAGCCCTGATCATCCTTTTCAATCCCTCCTTTTTCTCTGATATCCTCAGCCTTTAGTAATCACCGCTCTTTCCTGACCATAAAACAGTCTGCCAAAGAGACATCTACACTCCCAAGTTTATTGCAGCACTTAGGAGTCAAAAATTGAATCAGTCCAAGTGTCCACAAATGACGTATGGATAAACAAAAACGAATGTAATTTACTCTACGTCTGTCGATGAAACCCGTAAAAGTGAAGCTTTTAGTTTAATAGAAGAGAAGCTGTTCTTGTTGAGTTCTACATATGTGATGCATTTACGAGAGGTTCTTTGGCATCAGGTGACCAGCTAATTGAAAGAGATACTACATGGAGAGGACTTAGGTATCACATATCTTCTAGAACTAGATTAGCTAATCATTAAAGTACCATGTCATATCAAGAGTGGAATGGTTGTTCCACAATTCCTAGAGGTTTAGTTTATGTTTAAGAACAATTTAATACAATAGAGGTAAGTTAAACATAAGGAGCAAGAGTGAATAGTGGGTAATACTCTGGGGCATTTGCTGTTCTAGATTTTGCTCTTTGGTCAAAGAGATGCTAAACAATGGAGTGGGCAGTACAGTGGAGTTGGAGGGAGAGGCTGATGGAGACACCTTAGAGGTAAGTCACAGAAGACCCTGAACTACCCAAACATCCTTTAATAATACCTTTTGTGCCTAAAGAAAAGTGTCCCAATTTGCATATAAAATCCTTTATTGAGTATAAAGATACTTTTGAACCAGCCAGATATCATTGTCCATGGGTCTCAAAGATTATGTATCTCTATAGAAAAATCATATGATCCTGTCAGTCAAAATGTTGAAGAAAAATGGCCATGGATTACATTAAAATTTCTTTAATACATGACTATGCAAAGTATATTTTTCTACATTAATAGTATGTATGAAACTCCAAGAGAAATAGTTGACAAGGTGGAAACAGATGTTTGCCTAAATGGACCTTAGATATATCTCCTTATAGATGGTATATTAAATACACCAGTGTTTAAATCACTTTATAGAAAATGACATTATCATAAGCTTGTTTGGACAGCAAAGTTGTAGTCTACAATGAGTACACCATTTAGGTGTGCTTAAATGTTGCAGTCATTCAGATTTACCACTAATTCAAGCTTTTCCAGTAATTATAATTTAATGAGATTTTATTACGTATTTTGAAGTTAGACTGAAATTAATTCCTTAAGGTTTTCTTCAAAAAGCTGCTAAAGGGTTCATTTTAGAAATTGGGTCATGTACAAAAATTATTAGTTACAGTCAAAGTATGTTATAGAAGTGGACTAGGTGATTGCCTTTAAAGGCAACAGATGTGACAAAGAGAGGAAGCTGAAATAAGTCTGTGGAGCAGGCTTGTTTCTAGTTCTGTCAGACAGTGGAGACCCTTAAGTTATCTTAATTGTGTATCAGTTGACATGAGCATCTTTAGGTGTATAGGAAGGAACATACACATTATTCAATACATAAATTGTTGTGGGGTAAATAAAAACAGTGGGGCATGCCAAATCACAGAAATATGTATTGTTCTCTCTATGGTTTTACATAAGAGTTGCTTAAACTACTGTCACCTTTGTTTTAATCATGAACAAAAATACACTTGAAGACATGCAGTGACTTATTATTGTTGTCATTTTCAACTTACTGTGCATGTGCACCCATTATGTGGGCACATGTGTGGAGGCCAAAGGATAACTTTGTAGAATTGATTCTCCTTTCTTTCTATGGGTTCAGAAGGTTGAATTAGGGTCACCAGGCAGGCATGGTAAGCACCATTAGCCACTGAGCCATCTCACTAGCCTTGTTTTTGTTTTGTAAGACAGGTCTTCCTCTGTGGTCCAGACTAACCCAGAGCTGAGTACTGGAATTATAGGCATGTGTTAGCCTTTCCAGCAGGGCTGCAGCAGGTTTTAATAATAAGACTGATGAGACAGACTAGCAATTCTAACTGTAAAATATATTTGTAGCAAGCACTAGATCTCTATGAAGGAAAGAGGGGACCTTCCAACATGTTGTATATTCTATATCAAGATAATATTAACTTTAACTTTTAATTCTTTCCTGGAATGTTGAAAGAGGTTTGTTTCCCGACAAGTTAATAAGAGGCCATGCAGGAAGATACTTACTTATGGTACTTAACATGCTTAGAAAGTTTTAAATTGCAGCATTAAAATGGTGAAAAATCTCCAAAAGATAAGCCAGGTAATTTACAGGTGAGTGGTATTTGTTTACTTTTCCTGAATTCTACTTCATTAAGTCATTCTATAAACACACGAACAAATGAGAATGATTGTTAAATGAAAAAGCATATACCCTAAGAGCTGTATTTGGCTCAGCACTCAACTAATGCTTTATAGTTCTGAAAACTTGTTAGATAATTTTTGGATTTCTCTTTGGCAAGTTGTGTTTTTTCATTTATTTATTTATTTATTTATTGATCTATCCTGTTGTTTTACCTTGTTTAGTATGAGTATGACCATGATGCGAATGGGGAGAGAGTTGTCTTGGGGAAAGGCTCCTATGGGGTTGTGTATGCTGGCCGTGATCTCAGTAATCAAGTACGAATAGCCATCAAGGAAATCCCAGAGAGAGATATCAGGCAAGTTGAGACTGCCTTCAATATTCTACATTTGCTATCTCAACACTCTATATCCCAGGCCTACCACTGATGGCGAAAGGATTTAATGATTTACTCTATATCAACAGAATGATGTGGCTACTTTATATTGTCAGAGCTTGTAATGTTCTGGTTTAAAGGGTGATCTGCTTTTATTCTCTGTATATTGTAAGTACGTTGAGAAAAAGCAGACTAAGAGGTTTATAGATTACAGAAGGTCATATTTCAAAAGAAAACTATATTTCTACCCACGACTATGTCTGAAATTTTACATTTTATACAGCTATTTTGAAAATATTTTAAAATGTAACTGAGAAATTTTTTCTCTTTGTTTTTTAGTGCTGGGGATAGAACCCAGGTCCTCAAGCATGCTAGGCAAGCACTCTACCACTGAGCTACACCTCCAGCCTTGACTGTGTGCTTTTAAATTGACACTGTAACAATTGAAAATGGCTATGATTTGTCTGGATATGTCATTTTACAGAACTTAAATGCTGTTAAAAAACAGTTTCACCATAAAATTTTGTTAATAACTGCCCTTCAACCTTACCCAGAGATTAAGGGCTATGTTTGTACCACCAGTATTACAACTTACTCAGCAATTTTATTATTACATTTATTTCTTTAATTTTTTATACAGTAGACTTTGATCATATTCTTTCCCCTCCCCCAAGTCCTCCCAGATCCTTTCCACCTCCCTACCCACCCAACTGCATATTCTTTAACTTTACATCATTTAAAATTTAGACCCCCATCTAAATCTGCTGTTGAATGATTCTGTAAAGAAGCTACACATGTAATCATGACCCCAACAGAAATAACCATCCATGGGCCACGGACACCATAGTTGCAGTATTGCATCCAGCACTGGGTGCCGATGGATGTGTGCAAACATTCCCTCCATCTAGGGGACCACTGTTTAAAGCTGTATTACACAGGATTTCTAGCAACTGTCTGACCATCCATTCATTCACTAATTTGTTTATTTTCAGTGGGATAGTATAGTATGTGAATTATAACTAAGACCTGAAACAAACTAATCTGATCTCTTCACATTATCAATATGGAAACCAGCTTGATGGAGATTCAAGGACTCCCAAAGGGACATACAGAAACAAGATGCACATTCCAATCTCCTGAGCCCCTCTTGAATGGTCTCTTACTAGTGCGATAGATAGGCTGTTGCAGTTGCATAGATCTGGGGATATTCCTGGCCTGTACCTCCATTGGTAGTACCAGCTGTTCTAGCTTTTCCTTTCCCACAGAAGTTCCTGAGGTTTTTGAGCCAGAAAGGGCCTGAGACATTTTGTCCAATTCACAAAATTTTTACACTGAATTGAGAATGACTGGGCATGTTTTTCATTCATGAATCTGGGCTGGTGCTAGGAAGTAAGAGGTGACTGGACTGCTGTCCTGACCCTAGGGTGCTGTTTTAGTAGAGAATGCAGATATTGTGTCCATGAGTTGAAATGAAAAGTGTTGTGACGGAAGGGTACACAAACTGTCTTTAGAAAACAGGGGGCTAACTTTTCCTGAATGAACTATTACAAATTTGAGAGAACACATCATCTTCAAGCTAGTTTTATTGAGGAGCACATAACCTTGGTAGAAAATAGGCCTACGAAGGAAAAACTGAGCTGTTAAGAAGTAAAAGTAAAAAAAAAAAAAAGAAATAAAAATACATTGATAAAGCAACCAATTTCTCAAAGCCTGAGGGTAGGCTATGGGCTAGTGAAAGCTCATTAGACAAAACTGTTAAAAGGGACCATCTGACCAGATTGGAAGGGCCTTTTTTGTCACCTTAAAAATATGGTATTGATGTGGAGTCTCTGAAGAAAAGTGTTTAAAGTGAAATTTGTGTTTCATAAAGGTAGGGTGGGGGAATGAAATTGAAAGTCCAGAAGCTGGGACTGGACACTCATTAGTTCTGGGTTGAGTCTGTAGAGTAAGACTAGATGTCAGTTTGAGACAGAATTTTCCACACCACCACTTTCCATGGGAGGAAGAAGATTGTTGAAAGACATGAAAATTTGTTGGATAATCTATACACAAGCAATAGTAATAGTAATAGTAAAAATAGTAACTCCTAATTGAGTTTTTACCACATAACAGGTACTGTGTCAGTGCCTGAGAAACGTGGGGCACCTTGGTCCTCTAGAAGCCCTCCATGGCTGTGTTGTTACAGATTGCATATTACTTATCTGAAATTCTTACAAGAAGCAAGAAGAGTCTCAAATGAGACTCAGATTTTGGAATGTTTGTATATACATAATGAGGTATGCATAGGGTAGGGGACATCAACCTAAATACAAAATTCCTGTACATATGGCCTGAAGGTAATTTTAGATAAAACTTTATTATGTATACATTTTAACAGTAACCCATCACACGCTGTCTACTGGTGTCATATTGACACTCGAAATATTCTAGATCATATTGTCTTTTTAGATTAGGGATACTCAGCCTGTATCCCATGTTTTACAGATGAGAAGTTTAATATTCTCATGGATGCTGAGGAAGAGATTCCAGAAGGGATCCAGTAGGGTGGTTACTGTTAAGGGACTATGAGGGCCTAGAGTCCTGGTATTTGGCAGGTGATACGGACTTTGCTTCTTTTTCTGTAATAGGTACTCTCAGCCTCTGCATGAAGAAATAGCTCTCCACAAGTATCTCAAGCACCGCAATATCGTCCAGTACCTTGGCTCTATTTCAGAGAATGGCTACATTAAGATATTTATGGAGCAGGTACCTGGAGGTACGTAGCTGCTCTCTTCTGATATCACATTCTGAAAAGCATTCATGAGCATACAATCTGGACATCATTGATTGTCTCACCATTAACAAAAACCAGACCTTTTAGAGATTGGAAAACATTGGTTTCTTAGAAAAATCGTATACAACTTTGCAAACATGATTCAGCCTAAAATGCTCACTGTCTACTGAGTGCTAACATTGGAGACAAAGAGTTTGAGAGAACAAAATCTCTGGCCTTGAGCTCTGATCTTCTCATTCAGGAGTAAGGGAGTGATTTGGAAAAGGATGGAAAAGGGACACTGGAACTTTTTCATAATTTTATACATATATACTGTATTATTTTTTATTCACCCCAAATTAGCCTCTGTTGTCCCTTTCTCAATCCTGCTGACTCCTTCCCAACTAGTCTCTTTCTTTCATATCTTTTTGTGATCCACTAGGTTTAAATAGGGTTGACTACATGAACATGGTTAGGGTTTTGTTTTGTTTTAATTGGAGCATGGGAAGCATATCAGTGTCTACAACACTGAAGAAAATCACCTCCAAAAACTATTAACTACTAATAGCCTCACTGGCCTTCTCCTATAATGAAATTGTGAAGGGCCCAATCATGTGTAGCTCATATACAGGGTAACTTAAGTTGCTATGTGTTTATAATTACAACGGCCATGTCATATCCAAATGGCATGCATCTTAGCATTGCTCTCCATTTTCTGGCTCAAGTTATTTCTATTTCCTCATCTGTAATGGTTTCTTATCCTTCAAGAGTAGTGGTAGAGGTGTCCCATTTAGGGTTCAGCACTCAACAGTACTTTATTTTCAGTACTTTGACCAGTTGTGAGACTGTATTAACTACTGCCCACCACCAAAAGACTTCACTGACAAGGTCTGGAAGTAGCACTAGACTGTAGGTTTAAACACAAATATTTAGAAGGCAGTTTAATATGTGTATTAGCTATGTAACAGTAATAGATTGTCTTTTATGGCCTGCAATCTCCCCAATCATAGGCTTTTAGATGATTTACAATACCAGGTATGTATTCCGTCTTGGACAATAGAAGTAAAATCCAACAGAAAATGGTTGGTTATCCCCCATAACCATTATACCACTATTGTCTCAGTGAGCACATCTTGCTAGCCTGGTCAATTTTGGAATATGTATGGTTTAAGCAGTGTGTATGCCATTGATTACCTTTCTATACTACCAGCATGCATCACATTTTACAAACCTGTGAAAAGTAGCCAGCAGAGAGGAAGCTCCCTGGTCAGTTCCAGCTTGATTTCTCTTCTATGTTCTGTAAGCAATGTTGTATTCAGCAATAGTTCTAACTAGTTCTGTTGGGCAAACAAGAACAATGGCAATAGCCTATACTATTTTTGAGAGCCTTTGGGGCCTTGCTGGTCAGAAATTCATAGGAAGATATCCCATACCTTGCACTGGGATTTTCATTTAAAAACCTATAGCTTGAGCTGTAAAGATGATTTGTGGTTAAGAGCACTTACTGCCCCACAGAACCCACATAACGATTCACAAATGCCTGTAACTTCAGTTTCAAAGGATCTGAAACCCTCTTTTTACATCTGAAGGCTCTTGCATGCACATGGTGCACATTGAGGCCTAAACTCAGGCAAACACATACACACACACACACACACACACACACATAAAATAAAATTAATTTATAAAAATTTATGGCTTCTCAGAGCAGTATTACCCACACTTGTAGGATACCTCCCTTCAAATGTTTTATTACTATTGTTATTATTGTTGTTGATGATGTATTTTTTAAAATAGTTTACAAAATAATGTGCTTCTTATATGGCTTTTTTATTTTGATTTTCAACGCATGTTTTCTCTGTGTATCACTGGCTGCCGTAGAACTTACTCTGTAGACCAGGTTGGCCTCAAACTAAGAGATTTTCCTGTCTCTACCTCCCTAGTGCTGGGATTAAAGGCATGTGTTACCACTGCCTAGTTTATACAGCTTTTTTATACACCCTTAGTTTTGATAAACCCTCCTACCATTCCTGCCTTTCCTCCATCTCTCTATGCCCATCCCCTTTGTCATAGTTAGGGTTTTAATGCTGTGAAAAGATAACATGACCATGATTATAAAGGAAAATATTTAATTTGGGGCTGGCTTACAGTTTTCGAGGTTCAGTCCATTATTATCAAGGTGGGAAACATGGCAGCATGTAGGCAGACATGGTGCTGGAGAAAGAGCTGAGAGCTCTCCATCTTGATCCACAGGCAGAAGAAGGAGACTGTCCCACTGGGCATGGCTTTAGCACATAGGAGACCTCAAAGCCTGCTTCCACAGTGACACATTTCCTCCAACAAGACCACACCTCCTAATAGTGAGGCTCTCTATTGGTCTGTGGAGGCCAATGACATCCAAGCTTCCACACCCTTTAAAACTTTGTATATCTGGTATCCCTAAGACTTTCATATCGCAGGGGGCACGGTTTATTTTAAAGAAATGTTGCAAAATAACAAATGGATAATAAAACCAAATACTAGTGCTTTGCATATAAAGTCCCTACATGTAGGCAATAGGATATTGGAAGTAAGAATTTTTTGGATCTAGAACTGGTAGTTTGAATGGGTCTAGCTATTAAGATTCTAGAATCTCAGTTTTGTGGTTAAGGAAATACACTGTTATATTCGAGTATTAATTACTATAATACTTGATAATACATCATTGGAATATTAAGTAGGCCCATCTCAGCCAATCATTGGGTAGGTTAAAGGAGATGATATAAGTAATAGCTTTTGGGAAAGTGCTTGGCAGTGAGCAGCTGATTAAAATAAGTTATACATTGAAATAATAATATAATATTTTATTTGAATAGTGATGATCTGAATACCAGTGTTAGGTTAGAACTATCACTTTAGTTTACTTCCCTGATGCCTTACAAATAAATCTTTGTCATCCTGGTGAGTTTTGTTTGTTTGATTTTTGTTTTTGATTTGTTTCTTGGTTTGGTTTTGCTGTGTCACTTTCTAGGAAGCCTTTCTGCTCTCTTGCGATCTAAATGGGGACCCATGAAGGAACCCACTATCAAATTTTATACCAAACAGATCCTGGAAGGACTGAAGTATCTCCATGAAAACCAGATAGTGCACAGAGACATAAAGGTATGGGATCTCTAAGTAATCAAGGTGGTATTTTTCTAAGCTGTCACTATAGTTGGCTAGTAATCTGCTCACAGAGGGAGACAGCTTATCAAGGCAGCCCCACCCCATGTCAGGTCCATTCTTTGTAGAGAGAGTTTATCAAGGCCCCACACTATAGGGTGCTGGTTCCTTTAAATCTTCCTTTATACACTCAATGCTGTCTTTTTTCTAAAGGGTGATAATGTTCTGGTGAACACCTATAGTGGAGTGGTAAAAATCTCTGATTTTGGAACCTCTAAACGCCTCGCAGGAATTAACCCATGCACCGAGACCTTTGCTGGTAAGCAGAGCATAGCTGGTTATGTTGTGCCATCTTGGATCTAACCTTTCTCCTGAATCTGTGGTCATCTCTGAACTACTTATTTGTCACCTTCTCAACACAATAACATTTTGATTTTTCTAAATTTATTTAATATTTTAGAATATAATATTCTATAGAATATATATAGAATTCCATAGAATATAGTTTGATTATACGTTCTGCTCCCCAACTCCTCCAAGATCCTTTCCACCACCTTACCCACCCAACTTCTCTCTCCCCCTCCCTCCTTCCCTTTCTTTCCACTCTTTATCTCTCTCCTCCTACTCTGTGTGCATCTTTTTAAAAAACAAGCTCCCAAATACTGAGCCACCAACCAAAGAGCATACATGGGCTGGTCCAAGCCCTCCCCCAAAACCCCCACCCCGCACACATGTAGCAGAGGGCTGCCTTGTCTGGCCTCAGTGGGAGAGGATGTACCTAATCCTGTTGAGACCTGATGACCAGGGTTGTGGGCTGTGTGTGAGGGCACCCTCTCAGAAGCAAAAGGGATGGAGGAAAAACTCTGCTGGGGGGGCACAGGGAGGGGAGCAACATTTATGATGTAAATAAATAAATAATAAATAAAACAATCTTAAAAGAAATCTATTAAGACAAAAAAAGGAAAACAAAAAGTGCAAAAAAAGGAGTCTGTTTCATATTGGCAATTACTCTTGGACATGGGGCCTGCCTGGCCTGGACTGTCGGTGATACACCAAATGACAATCTAAGTCCCTGTACCAGAAGGTATCTATTGCAAATAGTTTCTTGGTTAGGGGTGGGACTTTACCTCTTCTCAGAGTTGAGACTTTTGTGTGCTTTGAATTTGTGTAGGTCTTGGACACATCCTCTGTGAGTTCATATATCTATCAGTCCTGTTGTGTATGAAGGACACTGTTTCCTTGGAGTCATCCATCACTGATATGTGACCTTCAAAAGGGTCATGACCCACAGGTTGAGAACTGCCTCACTAGCATAATACTAGTAGCAAGTTTTCCCCTAGGCCCATGAACTATCTAGTTTCTCAGATTCTTGGTACTTTAGCAGTGTCAGGCATGGGTTTCATCTCATGGAGTGGGCCTTAAATCTAATCGGAAAAGAGGTTGGTTACTCCTATAACATTTATGCCACTATCGTACAAGTATATTTTGCAGGGTTGGTCACTGTTCTAGGTGACAGGGTTTATAGCTGGGTGACTATCGATGCTTGCTTTTCTCCTCTGCTACTGTACAATGTATTTTCCAACATCATGAACACTAATCAATAGGGGCAAAACTTCTGGTTGAGCAGCAGATCAATTTCTCCATGTTCAGTGTTCTAAGTAAGTTGTGTCTTTAGCAATAGGGACTTCCATCAGGTTATGGAAAATAATTAATAACCTTGATGATATTAGTGATGTTTAGGAGTTCTATGGGACTCCTTTGGTTAATGTCTCAACAAGATGGAACTCATTCCTAGGTGTGGAGCTTTTACTTGGTGGCATAGAATGTCTAGTTGGAGCATGCTCTCTCCCATTATATAATAGTGACTCCATTTAACATCCTTTCATATGTAGATATATTTTAGGAAGCAGCAAGTTTCCATATGGCTTTCAAAAGGCTTTAGTGTTAATGGTCTACTCCCACATTCCTTCCTTTACTCTATCCTTCCATCCCACTCCCCCCTTAACCCTCCTTATTCTAATTTTCCCTTTATATTTCTTTTTCTTTTGTAACACTACACTCTGCTTTCCCTTCCTTGGAAGATAGATCCTGTCTTCCTCCTGGTCACTTACAAGTTATCTAACTTCTGTGGCTTTTCAGATTAAAACACACATATTTAAATTTTAAATGTTTACATCTACATATAAGAGAAAACACACTACTTGACTTTTGGGATCTGAGTTACTTCATCTGGGATGATTGTTTCAAGCTTTATCCATTTTGATTCTTAATGCAGATGAAATATTGTCCTTGACTTCAAAGTGTTTTAACATTGTTATAGTGAGATGCTTATCTGATATAGCTATCTGTGGCAACAATATTACCCTATTTTCTTCTTAGCTTTTTACAATTCAGATAGACAAAGAATTCTGCTGAAATATCCTAAGGGTTCTTACTCAGTAAAATGGCAGTATGTCTTCATACTTGGTAGCATACCAGTCAAAATCTTGGGTAATTTTATGTAACTTACTAGGACATTTTATTGGTCTGTCACAAAGATAGCTCTTTACCATAGTGAATTCTAACACTTTGCATTTTGATATGATTATGTTTCCAAGGGAGGCTAATTCTTCTGGGGAAATAGGATATTTTATGTGAGTTTGAAGAACTGCATTTTCTTTTCCACCTAATGGTGATAAAACACTCTGAATATTGACAGGGTCTGGACTCAAATGTGATATAAATTACCAGCTGGTTTTCCATTTACCAGACCAGTAGGTAGAAGGTCTCTCGCAAGCTACCTGTGGCTTTTTAAAATTCCTGCTTAAAAACAACTATAGCTAAAACCTTGATCCTTGGAAAGAAGTACTGATTTTTAATAAGGTTGTGGTCTCCCAAAGAGGAATATGACGATCACAAAGGCCGTGCCAGATAGATCTGTGAAACAGCTCCCATAACTTTATAGTTCTGGAATAAAGAATACATGGCAGGTGGCAGTTCTGTCCTTGAAATGGCCAAAGTTGTACAATGGACTAATTTGGCCTTATTTATGGTAAATAATATTCCAGATTTAAAAGAATTTTTTTTTCATTAAGAGAATGTTGTTTATTAATCCCTGGGTACCCACAGTGGAAACATGCCCCGATATGAATCTATTAAAAAAAATGACTTTTTAGTTGTACAGCCAGTAGAGGTACATGTGTCTTAGGCTACACCAAGACTCAATTAGTCTTTCCCACATAAAAAATATATTGAAGTTATGGTTTCTGATATAAATATGTCCATATTTATATATGAATATGTATATTAGACATATCTCAGAATTTTACAACTTTAATTTCAAAGGACTTATATCTTCCTCTTTGGAAGTCACCAATTAGCTTGACTATATGTAGCAAGAGGGGCTCTGATATGGCAGGGATTTATTTCAAAATCATAAAACACCAGCAATTGATGTCATAATTAGTATCCCAGAGGAGAAAAAAAATCACATGGAAAATACATTATTGCATATCACATTTCCCAAGTAATTGGCTTAAGAAGGCATGAATTTTGCATTGCAAAATAATGTAGGAATCTCATTTTGGTGAAGAAATTCTCCTACATGTATTACTCTTTACAAAACAGAACAATTCTGTAAAGGAACCTAAGCTGGTTGTTACAGAACTCTGGCTATGATAGATAATGGTGAGACTTTTCCTCATAGATGCTCTAAGCTTGTCTGAACCTTGTTAAGAGAAACAGTAAGCCAATTGCATGTCCAAGATCCTCCCTTCCTATGTTCCTATGATGAAGGGCTTTTGCCATGTGTATGATAAACTAATTACAAAAAAAAAAAAATTTTGAAGAGTGTTGGGGCTGGAACCAGGACCTTGTGCATGCTATGTGAGTTCTCTGTTACGGAACCACACACCAAGCCTTCTTGTCCCTGTTGTAGTAGGCTCAACACTTCATGGAGGTAAAACATACATGTTGTTAGAGCACCACTTGAAATGCATGAATGATTCAATGGTTGATTGTTAATTTACCACATCCTGCAGCCATTTCCACAACTCCATTTTTGAACATTTCTATTCCCCTGAAAGATCCCTGTGCCCCTTTGCAGTCAGTTCAGGTTTCAATCCCAGACAATCATTGGATTAACTTGATATGTGTTCAGATTTGCATATTTGTGGGATAGCCCTACACATGTAGTGCGGCAATACATATTTTTAAAGTATTTCCCTCCTCACTTTATGATATATTTTCAAGGCTTGTACATTATGGCATATACCAGGCCTTTATTTCTCTCCATCTAAATAATCTCCCAAGGTATGAATGATAATAGGTTGTTCTGTGGTCACTCATGCTGAAACTTTGTATGGATGTATGTTTTTATATGTCTCTTACATTTATACTTAGGATTAGAACCAGAACAAGATCGTTTGTTTGGTGTAAGCTATATACATCTTCTAATTAGGATGAACAGTCCCAATCTCTGATTCAACTACTGGCTACCTGTGTCATCTTAGACATATAAATTACTATCTGTCTATCTGTCTATCTATGTCTCAGATTTTTGTTGAGTAAAATGATGTTGTATGACAAACTTTTTCACAAGAGACACAACACACATGTCTGTTCACCCCAGATAGAGGAATCCATGACAGACCAAAGTATGGATACACCAAAATCCAACATGATGAACCAATGATTTTATTGGGGTTACTTACAGGAATATGGATGTGTGGTTACTTACAGGAGCAGAAATGACTGAAAGACAGCTGTATAACCAAATCCTACCCCAACATGGGTGACGGTTCACAAAAGCTGGGAACTGGGAGCACACTACATAGCCAAAAAGTTTGGGAAATGACCTTTTCAGGTGGCTCAGTTGGTCTAAACCTTTTCTAGGCAGCTTGGCTTGGTTTTATTTCTAATAGACAATTTTGTTGGTCTTTGCCCATTAGTTCTCTGTCTCTCTCTGTCTCTCCCTCTGTCTCTGTCTGTCTCTCCCTCCCTCCCCCCTCTCTCTCCTGCTTGCTTCACCTCTGCTTCTTTCAGTCAGGTGGACTAGTCTGAGAGTATTCTTTGCAGCTTGCCTCTTCTGAAAGTAACTCTTAGCAGTCTTCTTTACTGTTTAGGACCTTCCTTCCTCAAGAATAGAGAATCTAGTCATTTTCATGGATTTCCTGAAGATATTTTGAGTTGCTTTACTTCCAGTCATTAGGAACTTCCATGCAGTATTTTGCCTCCCCTTAGAATGCCCAGTTGTTTTGCCTCCCTGTAAACATCCTGTTTTAAGAAGTTTCCCGCAAAAATGGAAAGTTAATCTCCTAGAAACTGTTACACAACAAATGG